GTCCCGTGATCAAGTATTTGCAAAATAACTGCTAATGAGTGCTCATCCAGGTGTTTAACCTCTCGCCCAAAATGGAAACCGTAGTTTTGTGTGCTGCAATCACACTATATTTAAAGTGGAGCTCAAAAACTGGCTTCGGCCGAATAATAATGGTCCCAGTGGTGAACAGAGGAAAGAAGAACGTGCACATTGCTTACCAGTACGACAAGACGTCCTAAGTGCCCAATGGCCATGTTGAACGCCGGCAGAGGCAACTTGTAGGTGAAGGACACACGCCGCTTGTCCACGTCCAGATCATCAACGTCTAGCAGAGAAAACAAAGGAGTCACGTGATAACAGGCCCGGCGGAACTGGTCCGGTTGGTCAGGTCATGGCAGGACCAACGTTTGGCCACCAACGTGATTGTGTTTACAGCTGAGGTCATGCCCACCCGTCGTATCCTACACAAACTGTATGAACGGCCAGGGCATGGCCGGACCAGTCAACAACTGATTCCGCCGCCAGTCCAGGTTAAGATGCAGCAGAGCTGGTCGGTGAGCGGTTTATTATTCATTAGTTTGAGGGGAAGTTGTAATAATACGGGAAATATTTTCTTAACCAAGACCTCATTCAATTAACAATGCCAAACACGAGGTGCAACGGGATAAGCATACAGCCGTGAACCATGGCGTGCGAAGGTCCGGCTTTTGGCTCAATAACTTACACATCATGCGAGTGGAAAGGAAAATTCCCATCGCAACATCAAGTTTCACTGGAGCAATGCGCATGAAACTTCCCTGTACTCCAGGCACGTCAGTCTACTGGGCCATGGGCACCGTTCTGACCCGTCTACAGGCACAACAAATTGGCTTTTCAGCGAAAATCGGCCAAAAACTATTGATTGGCATTAAAAAAAAACCTTTACTTGTATGCAGTAAGTTGGTTTGTGTGTTTGAAATTAAGAACAGTAGAACCTGTGACTAAAGATCACCCCATGGGCCCAGGGAAAGTGGTCTTTAGTGGCAGGTTGCCCTTAGTGAGAGGTTTGCACCGCACCATAATGAATGTGGGACCGTCCGTGCCTGGCGAAGTGGTCTGTAGTACCAGGCTGGTCGCTAGTCACGGCGGTCTTGAGTTACAGTTTTACTGTACGGGCAAATCCTACAAAAATAAATGTCGTTAAGGTCTCAACCTGCCGGGATTAGAGGAGTGTTGCAGTGTACTTACATTTCCCGCCTGGCCTCAACGCCAGGACGTGCGTGGTCAGCTCCGAGTACACGTACTGCGTGTAGTTATACTTGAGTAGCCAGACCGTCACGTCACTCTCCACGCTCTCCACACTTTCCACACTGTCTGCACGGGGCAGGGCATGTTCGGCGGACTCGGGGCTCTCACGGGCGGACTCAGCACGGCTGGCGACACTGAGAAGGAGGAGGAGAGCTGAAACGGCGAGAAACGACATGGCTTCTATCTCGCCTGGTAGGTCTTCAGCCAACAGATGGATAATGGTCTTCGATCGGAACTTTTCGCTACAGGATTGCGGAACGCACGACCCGATTCATTTTATAACTCCGATCTCGGACGAAAGCTACCTCAGCGGCTATCGCGTCTAACGGCTAGATTTTACATGCTATCTGAGGGCCGGGCAGCCTTCTTGGTTGCTGGAGTGTTTGGAGGGCAGGCTACGATTAGCAGTACAGTACATAGCTGCCCGCGAACGGCGAAGGGTCTTGAGAGCAAGAAAACCACTATTTCAACTTCGGATTTCTCTGGACTCGTGATCGTTTGAAAGACACACAAAGGCTCAAAGCATGATGACTTTGTCAGGCGCTCTGAAGAGTGAAGGCACTGTGAGTCCCTCAGTCCCGAGTACGAGTGTGACTGGGACAGGGACACAGTGCAGATCTGTACTGTACATGTCGTATGTCCAATGCTGACCAGAAGGTCCTCACAAGTCGTTGACACCAAGTAATAGTTTGACGCATCGCCCGTGCCAGGTGCAAGTGTTGCATCTTCCTGTCCCCATCACGTTAGCCTTCGTTTTCGTAACACTGAACGAAGGTTTCCAACTCGGCTAATCACTATCGTAGTACATGGGAATGAGAATAACCGCCATATCCACCACTTCGCTTGGAAAGTTGCAAGATTTTCTGAGGTAAGTCCTTAGGAGAGAGTAATGTTTTGGTACCCACCCGCCGCGACATGTGATCGTCCAACAGATCGAGATTGCGCGCCAGCTCGCCAGTAGTAACAGAATGGCTAGCGCCAGAGCCACGCACACAAGAAATGCACGAGGGACCCACCGACACGATGAGAGAGAGAGAGAGACACACACAAACACACACACACACAGTGACACACACACCATTTGACCATTTGACGCCCATCACCGGAGTTGATGATAGCGACGCTACGGCAGAAGCCATAGCAACTTGTGCTGCGATTGCACCATTCAGCCTGGTCTACATCACACAGTATGAAGTGACTATTTCTGGCCAGTAAATTCCTGCTTTTGGTCTTTTTCATTTTTGTCCCGCGCACACATCACACCACAAACATACGCACAACCGCACACCCACCCACCCACACACACGCAGATCTACCGTAGTTAGTCTCCTTCAACTATGTATGACCTACGTTGTCTTTATTGTAGGGGAGCTGGTTGTGGCGTGTACGCGGAACATACCACGATGGGCATGTATGCAGTAGTATCACCACCGATAGTTCAGAGTGATGTAAGTGTATCATTTACCTGCATGCAGACCTATCAACGGCATGCAGTTAGAAAAGAGTCCGAGCAAAGCTTGAGCTCCTCAGGTGCACTGAAAACTCGTTCATGGTAGGGCAGCGTCGATGGTAGCGGTAGCGTCGGTGACCTCGTATCATACGAGGTTACCGACGCTACATTAAATATATCTCTTGCCGATTGTTGATGGCAGCAGCGAGTCACGAGTACTCGCGAACGTAAGGACATCGTACTTTATTCTTGTAATTGACGTAGATGTAGACCCGTACACGTGCTACGGATATGCGGTAAAGTGCACTGTTCGGGTACAAGTTTCTTGATTTTTTTAAAAGCAGGTATGGCCGATCTGGGTTTCATGCTTAGTACCCAACTGTTCGACACAGTAGCAAGGTTTTTTGTCCTGGTCCATTTCATTTACCGAACATCGTCTATTTTCGCGCTGACGGCAATTCTATGCCGTTAGGCAAGAAGTCGTTTTGGAAAAGGGAGAAATTGAGAACAGATAGAATTAATCCTGTAGATACAAGACACGCTTATTCAACCCCAGCTGCGAACCACAACCATGAGAATCCAAAAGGATGAAGACAGGAAGTGTAGCGATGCTCTCAACACAGCGTCAACATGGTTCACGCCTACGCTCCATCGCTATCCAGATCACGTCGGAGCTCCATAATGGGCAATGAGCATCCTTGCTGCGCACATAACAGTTCCTTGCGCCGGCCGTGCACTCAAGCCTGTCTCACTGCGTCCAACTATCATGAGCCTTCGATCTGTCTTTCGACCACGCACAAATACCATGTGTTTCAAGTTTTGAATGCTGCTTGTGATCACATTTGTACACGAAACGTTACAACAAAGCGACTACAGTGGAATCTGTCTAAGACGACCGCTCAGGGGACCTTCAAAACGCGGTCTCCGTTACCACGTGGTCTCTTTATCCGGCGTCATTTGACTGGAATTAGCATTCCTTGGTGCTGGTTTCAGTGGTCTTCTAGTACAGGTGGTCGCCTTATCCAAGTGGTCGCCCTGACAGATTTTACTCTACTAGTAGTGTCCGGCCCCTGACTTAAAAAAACGTTTTTTTAATTATGAAAGTACACATGTCTATATAGAATGGAAGAGAACAACAACAACAGCAAGAGAACGTAGGGGACTACAAAGGGCGTGTAGGTGCTATAAAGCTGTGCTGGTGAGGTGAAGTGCGCTCCCCCGGCCAATGGTCTCGGGATCAAGACGCACATCACTCACCATAATATTATTGCTTGCTTGCTTGCGCGTGTATGTATGTATGTATATTATGCATGTTCATTCACGTTCATGCGTGTCTTCAGTATTGCTCCATTAAAGACACGTCTATTTCAAAACTGGTATAGTAAAACAAATCGGTGCAACCAAAATCGGTTTAAACCTACCCTGGGTTGGCACTCACGCAGCAAACAAGTATTCATCCTCATAAGGTTGCACATACATACTGGTGTTATGTACCATCACGTTTCCTGATTATTATAGATTAGAGAGCTCATAGAAACTCGAAGCCGTGGAACATGGTTGGGAAGATGAACATCCTGGGAAGACCTCGATCCAACACCACGGGAAAGCGTCCCCATCTGGCGTTGGTTGACCGTGAATTGCCGTAGCCTACTAGGTACAAGAGGAGAGGCGGGAGCACGGAAACGAGGTACCAGTCGATTTCGCCATTACAGTTGCGTATTTCTGTGCCATGAAGTGTGGTGCGTGCCTTCCAATAGCATCAATGCTTGGGTGCCTCCAGCCCGCTCAAGACATGCCAAGAACACACTGTAGTGAGTACGCATAAGATTTCATGGAGTGAAACAATATCAAGAACATGTATATGTTACGCTGCAAGACAGATTCATGCTGGCATTATCCATTAAGGGCTATGGAGGATGATACATGACAGGCTTTGACCTTGTAGTCCATGACGAATCTATCTCGATTGGGTTTGTGATCAAGAATAGAATATCACACGGCAACTGAAGGCGCAGTATTGAGGAGAGACAGAGAAAGACACAGAGAGAGACAGACAGATAGAGGAAGAAACAGACAGAAAGAGAGAGACACAGAGCGTAATGCTGACTAAAAAAAAAAAGATGTATGCTGCCTGTGTCCTGTTCTGAACAATCAAGTGTGCGAAGATCTACACGTAAGAGTTACATGTACAGGTACATTGTTATACGGGTCGTACTTTGTCACTGACTAACTACGGAAGGAGTAACTTCATGAACTATAAACGCACGCACACTATACATGTGCACACACATACATACACACAAACACACAGATTATCAGGCATAGATTCGTTCTAGAGATACTAGTGTGATAGCTATAATGCTAAGACCAGTGCACTGAACATCCCGATCTGCTATCTTCCCAGTATCTGAACGTCAACACACATACACACACATGCCAGGCGGTGGAACCAGTATACATTAGACTGTGCCATCCTGGCATGACAGACAGTTGCGAGGGGAGCTCTGACATTGACATCCGTCCACGTATGGAATGTCAGCCATCCTCCTCCAGCCTCGATCGTATTGCTGCGTCGAAGTCCCGACGTAGACCTAGTTACATGTTGTACCCATGAAGTGCACACGATTGTAAACTCTACACGAGTTGATCATGCGAAAGGCAAAATGACGCCACAAACGTCCCTAAGCTTACAAGCGCATCCGAAAACAGATGGTTCGCTCCGTTTTCTTGTGCGAGTCCCTTTTCTCGAGGAGCCTTCATGACGACTTCTCAAGGGGCATCGTGTTGTTGGTGCTCGAAACTAAGATGTAGTGCGCCACCTCACAGAGAGCTGCGTTATACGGTTGGTGAACAGTGGCTTTGTCACACCAACATGTCCAGTTTAGCTTATCAACTCGTTCATCTTGGGGACGCGCCGCGCCAGGGACATTGGGCACCAGATGGTGAAGCCGCCCTCCGTGACTCCTGCCTCCATTCCAGCGCGCCGCTCCTGCCCAATCGTCCCTACATATCTTCCTGTGTCAGCCTGCCATTGCTTTCATAGCAATAAGATCACTGTGATCCGACCGCCAGCCCGGCCATTGCTTTCATAATCATGGATTGTCACTGTGATCCGTCTACCTGCCCCAGCCAGTACAAAACGGCGTGCATTTTGGAGCAATTTAATCATGCAACGTAGTAGGCTGGCATTGCCTGCGTGTGAGCGTACTGAGATCCCTGGGCTCGTCAGTGATCAAATACACACAAAGGGATAAATACCGGCTATGTACGGGCATCGTTTGTTGCCTCACTGAGGCGACAGGTGCGAACATGAGTACCCAATTCGTACTAGCTGCCTGCGTACAAGGTCTGGCGCTAAATGCTGCAGCCTTCTGGCACTGGAGTTGGTGCTGGATGGCGTTGAGGGCTGTGTTCGTCATGGAGAGCTATCCGTCGTCAGGATATCCTGCCTGTGATCAGGGGCAGAGTGGTGTACATGCGAACAGTGCGAGCACCGGTGATTTCAGCGGCGGTCTTGTAGGACCAATGCTGGAACGTGTGCTGCCCAGCCAGCGTGATGGTGATAGAGCGAGAATTGGATGCGCCAAGTGAAGGTTCAGCGCACAGCGCGACGCAATGCAATGCTGCAACAATTTATGTAGTCCTCGTCCAGGCCATATGGTCGGGTTTGTACAGTGTATTTGCCTTCTGCAGAGGCTCTTTGCGGCGGAACTTTGAAGCTGGCACCACAGCACCATGATCGTCTGGTCATTCACCCTCCGAATCATGCAATACCTTGCGTTGTTCACTCACCTAAGAGTTTCAACCTTGAACCAATTGAATGTACACAGACACACGTGTAGACAGGACAACGGAACAAAAGAGCTGTGGTGGAAACGCTGCTCTCACTACCGTTCATGCCCAGTACACATAGCATTAGTGATTAAGGTTACTTACAGCCCGTATCAGTGTGCAAACCTCTCCGTTTCTGTGTATCCATGTATGATCTGTACTCCTACTGCGAGTTCCCGCCGCTGCTCAACGCTTGCGGCCCTTACGCCTCCATGCGGAACAACACGAGCCAGCACACGATACCTGGTCTTCTTGTGGGACACTTGCATACCCGATGCATACCCGGGACGTGTACAAGATAATGGCTGCATCGCCCTCATGCCGTGCTGACACTCTCTGGCACGCGCTACACAATAATATTGTTATCACCCAATGTATACGTAAGTGAGCACGGAGAGGTGGCCGCGTGAGCGTCCCAGTCACCCATGGTCGCTAGTATTCTGATATCGTGCCTGTCGGCTTCCAACCATGTATATCTGAGAGGCGTGATGCAACTGGAGAAGGCATGCTTCACGCTCACACTGCCCTCACAAAAGTGTGAGAAAACTGCCCCAGGCGATCATTTCTGTCCATCAACTCGGTCCTCTCATCTCTCGACTTGTCATTATCCCGCAGGCTCATTCCGGAGCAAGTTTACTTCAGAACCGTACTCCCAGAAGGTCTCGCAGGATCATTAGCTTGCGCCTGTACCCTCAAGGCATAGCCGGTAGTGACCCTTTCCCCTTGCAAGTCCTTTCTGAAACAGTAACCTTTAGTTGGAGTGAAACACGACATCGAAGTTCAGGTTGCCCGTGGCTGTAGAGGTTTCGTGGTCTGGTCACCCAGCCAAACGAGCGTTCCAGTGCCGAGCATTTACTCCCCACGGCGGGCTATAACCAAGAAGAACCTTCACAGAATGGACTCCCTCATCAGCTTACTATGCTGTCTGGCGCTGACCGCCTACCTTGTATCAGGTAAGTGTGAAAACTGCATTGTTGCATGCTTGTATCTTCGTACCCAGAACATGTGTGTATTCTAGGTTCTGGGGAAAGTAGTAATTTCATTTCAGAGGAACTTCTAAGGCAGATTCTTTGCTCCAAACTAGCAAACGCTTGAACTTTCATTACCGAAAAGAAAGGTAACTGTGTTGTGCAGGCTTGCTTGGATCGACTGACAGAGGCCATTATCTATGATGGCTACCATCTGGTGAATAGGTATTAGCTGGGTGCCGGCCAACAATCTGTCTTTAGCCGTCACCCTCACGTTGACAGAATGCAGTGCGAACGTGTTGGCTGAGATCTACGTCAGGTGAGAAAAGGGTGAGACCCTGAGCGGACACGAGTAACAAGTTCGTTAACTACCTCCTCTGGTCTTGCCCTTCGTTTCGTATGACGTCACACATCCCGCCTCTTTGAACAAACAAATGAGTTTTAAAGTCTTCTTTTATCCACTGGAGTCGACCCACCCCAGAACTAACACGTACAGATTAGGGTCCAGCGGATTCTGCCGGCAGAAAAATTGGCAGAATTCGGTACTTTTTCTGGTAAGTTTCATGTGGATTACGAAATGGAGCGGAATTCGAGGAATTGCCCGCCATAAGGTTTGTATGGTTCTGCCAATTTTACTGCTTTTCGAGCAGAATCTGCCACCTTTTCGAGCAGAATCCGCCGGTCCCTAGTCCAGATACCCTTGCGAATAACGACCCTCGATCGCGCCTGAGGAAGGTGTGGTATTCGCGAGTTGTTATTATTCGTGTGGTAGACAGTACGAAGTAGTGGTTGCGACTTCGGCGATGACTTGTAAGAAAGGGTTTGCTCCCCACACCGGAGCTCGCGCTATTCCGCCGACTTTACTTGACACTTGACTGACTCACGACTGCCATCCAGAGCACACGAGAAGTGCATCGAACCTTCGACTCGGCAAACCTGCGAGAAAGCACCACTCCCTGCTCAATACACAGTGTTTCGGGGAATTCACCCCTCATCAGTTGAGCTTGAGTAGACAGTATGCAGGAAAATGGTCACTAGATGTGAAGATTGCGTTTTCATTCGCGGGTTGTTGCTACTTATCCGAGAACGTTATTCCCCAGGTTGGCCGTACCTAACACAGTGAAACCTGTCTAAGACGACCGCTCAAGGGACTTTCGAAGTGTGGTCTCTGTAACCAGGTGGTCTCCATATCCAGTGCCATTTGACTGGAAATAGCATCCCCTGGTCCTGGCTGCAATGGTCTTCTGGGACAGGTGGTCGCCTTATCCGAGTGGTCGCCTTGACAGGTTTTATTGTACAAGCACAGACTTCTGTGTGTAGCTGCTGCAAGGTGTTCGACTAGATTTATCCCACCCCCTCCCAGAAGCCGATTGCCAAGCACGAAAGCCACCCGTTGTCTGACAACGATGGCAGATGGTTGCAGCTAGCGGATGCATACATGCAGCTACTCGCAATAGAGGGACACCAATCCGTCCAATGTCCTCACTCGTGTCGATAGAAATCACTGGAGCTCCTGTCTTCACTAGTTGGGGTAATGGAAAAGGAGAAAGTCCGAAGAAAAAATTACTGTTATTACCATGACTCCAGGGAACCAGGGATCTTCGCTTAAGCCCAGCAATCTCAACTCCTTGATACCGTTTTCAAAGCTTTAATTTGATTGGAACATTGAGTCTGTGAGGAAGCAAAGCCTGCAAGCACGTCGTCGAATTGGTTAATCAAGACCAGCACACAGCCTCCACATATGTGTACATGTCCTTCTATCCTGAACAAGTTGAGGGGAGGGTACCCTTCGAATGAAGGGTGCTTGAGTAGGAATGAGGCGTCGATCGGTGCTTCCCATCAGCAACCTGATCCATAATTCACGCATGCTTCGTTTACCATACTCCGAAGGTAAAGCATGATCTCTCGCACCACCGTGTTGAAGGTGTTCCGACTACTGCTTGTAGCAACCATTCCAGCTGCGTTTCTATCCCACCGCTTGCACGCCCCGACGCAGGCAGTATTATTGTATTTGTATGTTGTATTTATGGATTCTCCACAGACCTTAGCCTAAATGAAGGGAGTCAAGTAGTGTATGTGTGTGTGGGGTGGGGGGAGGGGGGGGGGGGAGGGGTATTTCTGTGCCATTGATAGCTGCTGCACGTTGCATAGGTTGACTACCACTGTAGTTAATAGTTATAGACCACTGGTGCAACATAGTAGTACTAGTAGCTCACGTATATGCCTACATGTATGTTCGTGGTCTACCACCACCACCACCATTGGTTAAAGCTGCACCTCCCTTTGAGACATACATAACATAAATGCAAGCACGCACGCACACATACATACACACATCACAACACGTTCACTCATATTATCATAGGAGGTCTCGAGAACTCGACAATCTCATTAGCTATACGATCTTCTGCCCATCTGGACCGGTCATTGGCGTCGGCTGGGCTTCTTTTGAAGTCGAGTGTCCTGTCCGACTAGACATCCCTTCGCCTCGACGTTGACATGACCTTCAGTCAATCGCCTCGCACACAGCGCAACCCGTTATATGAAAGGTATAAGGGACCTGGGGTCCACCAAGTCATCATCCTTGGCTCCGGTTACGCTGAATCAGAATGCCAGTCAGAAACTCTTTACTCGTCGACACATTGCGACAACAACCCTCTTGCCTAACTGACGAGAACTGATTCTTTAATGAACGTGATGGCCAATAGTCGCGTCTTCATGTTTACCCGACTGAGAATTTAATTGATCGGGCGAGGATAATCGTGTAACACTCAAATGCAATGGAACTCGCCGCATACACGACGTAAGACAGTCTTGGCGCGACTGCACTATTGCTTGAGTCACACTTTTTTATGTGTTTGGTCGCCTAGGAGTCCAGCTAGGCCGATGCTCAATGTCTGATGCTATCTCTGAGTCTGATGTCGCTGCGACGCCTTTGTGCAGCGACGGCCAACGTGACATGGGTCATGGCGGCACGTCCCCATGTTCAGGGAATCTAGTAGAGGATATAATCACATTTTCGAACAGCTCGCAGGGTCCAAACGTGCCCTACGCCATCGGGTTGTACTTGCCACTCTGATGAATTCGACCATGTTTTCTGCGAAAATGTAAAATAGAGTCGAGCAGACATGTGGGTTGGCATTATTTGGATGTCTGATGAGTGCATAGGGTATTGTTCTGTTCATGTAACCTTTGGTATCTGCGAGAGATAGTGGTGGAGCCTGTAGCGCACTTCTCACGCCGATTGGCCTGTCACTGAACTCGCATGGCCGCCCACCTCGCTGAGGTTGATCTGGAGGCGGTGGTTTAGGGCCGAGCCGTAAAAGGGTTTGTGTTTCTGGTGGTGTTTGTGAAACTATGTGTGACGACATCGATAATGGGTATCGCGACGGTCAACATGGGCATTCTCACGTTTACGCGTCACAGTCCTTGATCGTGAGAGGTTGATGGGGCAAAGACTTGAAAGGACTTGTCAAATCGGTGGCTGCGGATCCTGGCAACGCACTGCAATCAATCACATCTTAGTTGTGCAGGTTGAATAAGCCTCTTAAACGGGCAATCACAGAACATCATTATCACTGGCCTGACACAACAGCTAAAGAAAAAGCAAAACAAAACAAAGAAAAATGTTAAAGAAAAAGAAAATGAAACTTGACAATCTGCAACACGATGGCAACTCCATTCATGATAGTCTCTGTTAGATCGGTTTAGTTGCGCAGGTGGCAGGCGTATAGGCATTGCTATGGCGGTCACAACACAATCACAGTGTACAGCATCCTCGCGTTCTCTCTCATAATACAAGTACGTTGTGAAAAAGGCTGGAAGCACTTGTCACGTACTAAACAGTGTTAAAAGGCACTATATCAAAACAACCTAGTGTTGTTCTCTACTAACGAGCACGGACGGCTCTAAACGTTCTCGCTCTATCAAGGTACGAGTACAGTGCTGTCAACTGAAATCCGACCCCTGAGCGGTGCGCCCACATCGCAAAGACCCAACACGGGATAGTAAAACTACGAAATGGAGACCGCTAGAATGTGAATGCACTCCTCATGGGGTCGGATTTCAGTTGCCGCACTGTATGTAGTGATTCAATACAATGCAAAAGTAGTCTTTGCAGTGCTGGCCGATAAGATTCGCCTTTTGAATACAGTGGTGTAGCATTCGGACACACAGCACAGCAATCGTTGTGCTAGGGCACTGCAGCGCCCTGTGTGATCTAAAGAGGTCGGATTTCACTGGCCAGAACCTTTTTTTATTGAATAACAGTGAACCTTTAGTAAAAAAAACACCCAAGAGACATGCAATCCGTAACTTTTAAAGCAGCGGGATGTACCTGTCATTTCACCTTGGATACACCGTACATCGGCTATTATGTACAGATTCAATGTCCCTTGGAGGTGCATTGACATGCAGTTACCAACCAAGCCGAGCCAGAAAGCAGTGGAAGACGGCAGCGATGAGCAGGCAGTCATTTGTACCCACTGGTGCGTTGAGGTTGTCTATGAATTGAAGACAGCCAAGAATACATCCGACGCGAAAATAGGCCTTTTCGACGGCCATTTGCAGCTTTTCCTTCCCATTCAATCGCCACCGCACTAAACTTCCGATGATTTGTACATCAAGCTATTATTATCCCCTCCTCCTCCTCCTCCTTCTCTTCCTTCTGCTCCCCATCTTCTGTAACCCTAACATGTAACATCCATGCGTGAAGGGCCAGGGAATCAGTTAGAACTGGCAAAGCAGCAATACATTGAGGTGGTCGAGGTAGTTGAATAGAAGTCTACTGTCCCAACCAACTGCAGTGAGTCTCGGTAAATCCTCCAGTGATATCAATTTAATATTTGCAATGATGATGCCATGGTCTGTCGGCTGGACTGGATCCATCCTTTTTGGCATAGTCACGGCGCCTTGTCTGCCCCACTAGTACATGTATTTAGAATTCTCTGCTCTACTCGGAGTGAGCGTAACATGGACGCAGCTAA